AAATTTAGTGACATTATAGCAAACAAAATCAACCTGTTCTCTCAGAGAGGGTTGACCAAAATTCATTGTACTTAAAAACTTGAATGTATTAATTCTGAATCCATGTTCATGAAAATTGTTGAATTTGAATTGAATGAATGTTTTATCATGTTTTCTCTGACTATGTCAGTTAAATTAAAGGATTTACTAAAAGTGTACTTTGCCCCCACTGAAGGAGCTGGATAAAGCTTGGGAAATGGTCAATGCTGCTTATGAAAAAGAGAAGAGAGATAAAGAGACCATTAGGAATCTAAAAGACAACATAGAAGACCTAACAAAACTTACAGAAGAACAAAAAGGCTTTTCTACGCAGCAAGAGCAGAGGTGAGCCATGTGTAATCCTTCCCACACTCTCAATAACTTATTGTGTGGATACTGGGAAAGTGAATGGAACCTACTGTAATCTTTTTTTCAGTGATCTACTACAAATGAACGAGGAGTTGACAAAGGAGCGGAATCAGCTGCTGATGTCTGTGGAGGGTCTGAGAGAAAAATTAAATAAAGCCACTGTCACCCAGCAGGAGATAGAGGCCCAGAGACAGAGCGCTGTAGAGAACATGTCTCAGGTAAGTATGGAGGAAAGTCTCAGACAGGACACAGACTGACTTCTGATGTCATTCTGATTGTATGACCTGTTTAAATCAATGGTAGAGACAGAGTTCTTTATTCATAAATACACCAGACTTTGTGAAAACAGAGTGTGAAGAAAAATCTGATTTTAAAACTATTATTAGAAACTGTTTTTCACAGTTTCACTGCGAATGCAGGCAGGCAATCTCAAAGTCCAGATTTAAAAGAAGACAAAGGGAACGAAACAGGAACAAAGGAGTGAAACTGAAGCATTAGGAAAACCATCGGAAACATGCAAAACCAGGAACATGAATAGGAACAAACATAACATGAACATTGTTAAAAGTGGTTAGAACACTACAATCACCGCTGGATGAGGTTTCCACACTGTGACCTCACAGTTGGATGTAATTAGAACATTGTGACATCACAGTTGGATGTAGTTAGAACATTGTGACATCACAGTTGGATGTANTTAGAACATTGTGACATCACAGTTGGATGTAGTTAGAACATTGTGACATCACAGTTGGATGTAGTTAGAACATTGTAACATCACAGTTGGATGTAGTTAGAACACTGTGACATCACAGTTGGATGTGGTTACGATTTGAAGGATTTTCATTTGAGTACATGAAAAGGTTTCTGTGGAACATTCGTATAGCTGAAGCAAATAAAGATCTACACCGAGAAAATAAATCAAATCCATCTCTGATGGTTCCTCTCTGTGTCTAAACCCAGCTCCAGCAGGAGCTTATGGTTCAACAGAACGAGATTTCCCGGGAAATGAGGCTGAAGGAAAAGCTGGATAATGAGGTGAAGCGTCTGCACGTCGACATGGAGGCGAAGACAGGTGACATCAAAGCTCTGAATCTACAAGGTCAAAGAGCCAAAGAGGAGCAGCTGAGACTGGAGCAGCAGCTGAAAGAGATAAAGGTGACCAATGGAGTGGGATGCCTTCTCTTTATGTCGTACAAAACCATCTTATATAATATTTTTGGTCTTAGTTGCAAATAGAGTTATGCAGTTTTATTTATTCAAATGAACAAATATTCAGAAAGAATTACATTTAAGTTTATCAGGCCTTCAAAACAGCCTTGATACACCTTTGTATCAGTCGTGTCAGTGCATCGTTGACTTTTTAGGATGGTTGACTGTAACATACAGTGTGTGTGTAATGACATACACTTTGCTTACTGCACAGCAGAATGCAATAATCCCCCTTGTGACTGTGCAGATCCTGAATGAGCGATCTACCAAGGAGCTGGAGCAGGCACAGGTGAAGAACACCAAGCTGCAGCAGGAGTGTGAGCAGCTCTCATCAGTCAAAGAGCATCTCTCGCTGGAAAATCAGCAGAGCGCTAATGAGCTCAAGGTACACATTTGTAAACTGACTCACAAACACACA